AGTCCTTGGTACAAGATTAGCATAAGCAGACATGGCAGGGCAAGACTCAGGTATACGATTAGCATAGACAAATATGTCTTAAGTGCCCACCACCCAAAAGTACAATAGAAGTTCCTTTGCATGTCTGGAGCCTGAGGCGAGTCAGGTGATGAGATTTGGCTTCCTTTGGCTTACAATGAGCCCAGCAATTGTCACCTCTGGGAACTTCCTGGAGTCCTTTCTCAAGGGGAAAATAGCTTTGGAATGGAGGAAACTGGAAAAGGAGATGATTTTATATTATTTTTTAAGCTAGGTAACTTCCCTGAGCTGTCAAGTTGAAAGGATACATTCAGGCATAATATTTGTAATATTTAACTTTAAAGATGTGCCCCCCCACCCTGTAATTTCCGTAACAGGCTCCAACTTCTGCTTTTCTAAGGTGTGCTGAACAGCAGGAGGAGGAGTGCAGGTGGGCAAGAAGATGAGCTGATTTGCTAAGGAAGCGATAACTCATATACCTTTAGGCAGGTGCATCTTATTCTCTGCACCTGCACCACTAAATGTCAAGCTTCACCTGGCTTTATTTTTAATTATATATTTATTTTTAAAATACATCTTTCCAAAGGAAGAGGTGATATAATATTTAAAAAATTGGGGGGGGGAGAGTCCAGAATAAGTGCAGTCTTTCCATCTTTCCCTTCCATAAGAACACAAGAAGAGCTCTGTTGGATTCCAGTTAATGACATGATTTTCAAAAAAAAAAAATTATTACTCCTAAACACCAAAGGAGGCAGTTAATTTTTACAGATTGCCCTGCAGGCAGCAGGTTAACGGGTACAGAAAATGCATAACGTGATACCTAAATGTGACTGAAATATACCCATTGCCGTCAGAAATGCAGACAAAAACTCGGCTAATTTTGCAGTTGAGTGTCTGAAGTATTTCGTGAAGATGGATCATTACAGCACCATTGTGAAAATGTGTACAGTTTTCCAGAGAATTCTTGCGTGATCTCTTGCTTCTTCTGGTCTGTGTATGTATATGATAATTGACCTCACCATCCGGCTGCCCCAAAAAGACGTTAATTGGAATAACCACCTTTTTTATGTCTCTTAGAAGCCTGGGTGCTGAAAGTTTATTTGTTCTCTCCTTCTTCCCAGCACACCTTGCTAAAAACACTCTTTTCCTGTAACCCCTCACATACACCTCATCAGCTTGGCAACCTCTGTCTGCCCAGGTCCAAAATTCCCCCTAGATGGGCCATCAAAACCTTTTGTCATGCTAATGCATCTATCCCAGGTGTGGCCCTGGCTTGGAAAGGAAGCTTTGCCTCAACTGGCCTCCAGTCTTCCCCTCAATACTCCAAATAATCAAAAACCTACCATTTATTATTTTCCAGGGTTTTTTAGGGGGGGGGCATGTCCCTATATATTTGTATAAGCAAAATGTAGGACCTCATAGAGTCCACCTGTTATGTACTGAGTTGAATAGGATCCAAAAGGCAGCAGTCTGATTGGTCCTAGAACAATAGGATTCAGAATGCAGCAGTCTGATTGGTCCTGGAACAATAGGGTCCAGAATGCAGCAGTCTGATTGGTCCTAGAACAATAGGGTCCAGAATGCAGCAGTCTGATTGGTACTAGAACAATAGGGTCCAGAATGCAGCCGTCTGATTGGTCCTAGAACAATAGGGTCCAGAATGCAGCAGTCTGATTGGTCCACAGGAGCCACCCAATCCAGCTCCAGGTGGAAGTGAATCCGCAACCTGATTGGCCTACAGGTGAATCCAGGAATTGGCCAATCACGTGGGGCCCATTGTGTAAATAATGTATACAAAGCAGACATTCTGGGGGAACTTCCATTCCTCCTCACCACTATGGGCTGAATAAAGAGCATGAAATCCACTCTCGACTCCGAGTATATTTCACCACCCATAATCTTGGTTTCTGTTTTTAAAAGAATCCTATACCTAGTTTTGTAAGAGTCGGCCTCATGGAGCTCAATGGGACTTGCTTCTGAATAGACATGTATGGGAGTGTCCCATTAAAGTAATCTTATATCCTGGGAAACAGAGATGTTTCCTCCTGGAAACCGTTCTTGTTCGCTTTGTACTGTAAAGACAGTTGCTGCAGGGGCTAATAAAATATAAAGCAACAAGATCATCATCATAAGAAATGGAAATGTTCTGTTAAATGACAGCATTCATTCAATCCAAAGAAGAACAGAGTCCCCTGATGGTGGTTTGGTGAAACAGTACTGGGGTTGTGTCCGAAATTCTCATCCAAACTGATCTCCAGCATTTGGAGTTCCTGATAAACTTCCCCCATTTCTGAAGTGGGATTGATACTTCAGGAATTCTACATTCGATTTCCAGATTTGCTGCAGAGCATCTGTGCAAGTGTGATTTGTGCAGCTCCGAGTTCATTTGTGTCCCCACCCCACTCAACATATTGCCATGCATTTGTTGTGGGCATTAATTAACACTACCCCCCAAAAGCACACACCCCAATATTCTTTTTGTGTGGAGTTTGACCAATGCACAGTAGCATAAAAACACAGCCGTTAGGAATGTCAAGCAGTGGCTGAATTAAATGGAACCCCCTTTCTTCTGAGGTCTCCCACTATCACAAGTATTTTAAAATACAGTAAGATAGCATCTTGCATGCATTTAACTTGTGTGCTTTCAGCTATGCGTGTTGAAGGCAAGCAAGTAGGGGAGCTTTAAAGCTCATTTTGTGTCAAGAAAACTTGGTGCAAAAATAGCTTTGAAGCTCTCCAGTTCCTTTGGCTGTCTCTGCGTGCTGGGTCTGGGAAGTTCTTTCCAGATCTTGCAGGAAGTTGAACGGCCCCATGAGACCTCATGAGAGCATCCTGGGGCCTCCTTGGAAGCCCTGGGATGTTTGTGCGAGCACAGTTCCAAGGGTTTGAGTACAGTGGAACCTTGGTTCTTGAACGGGTTTGTTGACGAACAAATCGGCTCCCGAACGCTGAAAACCTGGAAGTGTGCCTTGGTTTTTGATTGTTTTGGAAGTCGAATGGACTTCTGGAACGGATTACGTTTGAAAACCAAGGTACCACTGGATATCCATTTTTGCATATATGTGAAATCCTTGGAACCACCCCCCACCCCCACAGAGGATGCAATTGTGCTGTATTGCAAAGAAATTTCTAAATTGATTTGGGCATATGGAGAATAGTCCTAACGTAAGAGTGATTCATTTGTTTGTGTTGGACTTCTTCTTTCCTCTAAGCACAGATGAACACTGAAAGGATCACCAGAGGGCAAAGCAAACTCAGGAGTCTGTGCAGGACAGGCAGATATCACAAAAGACGGGAAGCAGGGTAGCTGCTTGGAAAGGGTACAAAGCACAATGGAGTAGGATGCCTATTCTAAAGAATGCAGAAAACCAGGGATGGGGGAACTTGTGGGACTCCAGATGTTGGAGTACTGCTTTCATCACCCTTGAGCATTGGCCTTGTTGACTGAGGCTGATGGGAGTTGGAGCCCAACAACATCTATGGGGTCACAGGCTCCCTACCTCAGATGCAGGCAGAAGTGGGAGGAGAGAGACATTTCACAGGAGATCTCAGTCCTCAAGGCTTCTGTTTGCAAGAACAGTTTTAGAAGGTCTTTAGAAGTTCTCATTTGTATTGCATGGAAATTCTTCTGGTCAGGGCTACCATTTGTTTGTCAGTTTCCTATGTATACTGCCCTATACCCATAGATCTCAGGGCGGTTCACAACACAAATTTACAATATCAAAAAGACAGAATACATAATAGAAACAAAAACAAAGGCAACCTAATAATTTCCCCTTCCACAACACATTCAAAAGGGCATCCGATGTTAATCAGCCAAAGGCCTGTTCACCTGGCACCTAAAGATGTGTAACCAGGAGTCAGCCAAACCTCCTCTGGGATAAATAAAAAAATTCCTTCCAGTAGCACCTTAAAGACCAACTAAGTTAGTTCTTGGTACGAGCTTTCGTGTGCATGCACACTTCTTCAGATACACTGAAACAGAAGTTGCCAGATCCTTCTATATAGTGAGAAGGTGGGGAGGGGTATTACTCAGAAGGGTGGTGGGAATGGGTGAGCATTCCATAAATGGGAAGCCACTGCAGAAAAGGCCCGTTTTTCTGTTGCCACCCTCCAAACCTCTCATGGAAAAGGCACATGAGGAAGGGTCTCAGAGGATGATCTCAGAGCCCAGGTAGGTTCAAATGCAGAGAGGTGGTATACCTCAGTACCTTGAGGTATTGCGGTTCTGAGCAGTGTAAGGCTTTATAGGTCAAAACCAGCAGTTTGAATTGCGCATGGAAACTAATTGGTAGCCAGTGCAGTCAGACCAGGATCGGTGTGGTATGCTCAAACCGTCTTGCCCCGGTGAGCAACCTGGCTGCTGAATTCTGCACTAACTGAAGTTTCCAAACCATCTTCAGAGGGAGCCCTACATATAACACATTGCGGTAATCAATGCGTTGCAATATGAGCACCTCCTGTTTCTCCCAGTGACAAACTTGAGTATATGGGTCTATACTTGTGGCATCACTGACTTCACAATGGGTGTTGCACCTGATGAAGGAAGACCACAGGAATGTCAAAAAGAAAGAAAGAAAGAAAGAAAGAAAGAAAGAAAGAAAGAAAGAAAGAAAGAAAATGTGCCTAGTTGAGAATCATTCTCAAGGGAGCTGCCTCAGCAGCTCTCGCTGAGCTTTAGATAGCCTCCTCTATTCCCATCATGTTCAAAGAAGAAAAAGTCACTTGTTAATTTATATGATGTTAAAAGCAATGCCTTTAGGAAACCCCAGCACTGTAAACTACAGGGTTAGAAAATTCCGCTTGGTTTTACAAGTCCTCTTGGTTTTACAAGTCGTCAGGACATTACGTTAGGTACAACATAATGGAAAAGGCCTCATGCCAGACATACCAAAGAGATTAATTCAGGCCAATTACCTGTGATCTCCAGCTGCCAAACCCAGCTCTCCAATGAGATAAAAAGGGGAAACGCGTGAGCATCCCAGACGATCCTTTCACCTTGGCTGTCCAGGAGTATTGTCTCATCTCTCTCTGTCTCTCTCTGTTTCCCCTTCTTGCCCTGAGGAGGAACAATGGCTCAAAAATCAGTCAGAGTCTCTAAGAATTTTAGCACCTCTTCAGCTGTTATCCCAGGTAGCCGAACTAGCTTCAGCACGGTTTCGGTCTCCCGGGGAGGTGGTGCAGGCCTTGGACGTATCAGTGGTGGCTTTGGCAGCAGAAGCCTCCATGGCTTTGGAGCAAGTAAAAGAATCTCCATGGGTGGCTACCGTACTACTGCCAGATCTGGATATGGTTATGGATTAGGTCATGGAGGAGTTGGGTACCGGATTGTTGGTGGTGGTGGCTATGGCTATGGAGCTGGCGCTGGTGGCATCCATGAGGTTACCGTCAACCCAAACCTCCTGGCGCCTCTTAACTTGGAGATTGACCCCACCATCCAGAAGGTGAGGAAGGAAGAGAAGGAGCAGATCAAGACACTCAACAACAAATTTGCCTCCTTCATTGATAAGGTAAGTTTCTCTCTGGATGCCATCCTAAAAACTTTACGCTACTTTAAAAAAAGTTCCTTCCTGCTACTGTTTAAACAAGCTCTACTGACAATATAGGGCAGCTGTTTTCTTTCCCTGCTTACAATATCCTACCAACATTTCATCGCTAGAAATAGACACAGCCGTGTACAGTGGTAGTTCGATTTTCAAAAGTCTCTATTGACGAAAATTTTGGTTTTCAAATGCTGTAAACCCAGAAGTAAATGCTTCAGTTTTTGAACATGTCTCGGAAGTCGAACATGCCATGTGGCTTCTGTGTTGAGTTTTCCATATTGAGGCTTCCATATTGATTGTTCAGTTTTTGAACGTTTCAGAACTCGAACGGTCTTCCTGAAAGGATTACATTTGAAAACCGAGGTACCACTGTATTTGTAGAGCATCCTTGCTCTCACATCATGGATCACTTACTGATGGTTAGTCAGAGATGAGGAAGAACTACAACTCCCATTATCCCTGGTTATGAACAATGGCAGCTGGGTCTAATGGTAGTCCAAAACATGAGGAGGACCCGAGGCTGGGGAAAGAGCATCTCCTCCCTGTGATCAGAGACTAAACTTCAAGAGACCTGGCAGAGAGAGCAAAAAGGGTACGAGTGCATGTGTGTACACACTAGAGATGTTTTGAAAAGGCATCTCCAAAAGGAATGGGCACAAACAAAAGTGGTTGTGCCTAGTTAATAGACATGATAGGACTAAATGTCTTACCTGTGTGGAAATTGCAGGGAAGCTCACAGGCTGCATTAATATTTCATTTTTAAAAAAATAAAAGATATTTATTCAAGTTTCAACATTTTACAAAAATAAGAAAAAAGATAAAAAAGGGGAAAAAAGAAAAAAAGAAAATACAAAGTAAAAATAATTAAAAACAGATCAGTTTTTCCAAATCTTATCTTTCATTTGCTTGTTTCCGTGACCTCCTCACGCCTCCCTTTTTGTATTCCAGTTCAATTAGTTAATTCAGCAAATCCTTATAACTTTGTATTATCACCTGTTAATAAACCATTTTATATATTCCTTTATAACATTACTACTAAAAACCACTTAACTTCAATCCAACATCATTCTAACATTCATTAATTTTACAGTGTTTCTGTAGATAGTCTTTAAATTTCTTCCAATCTTCTTCCACCGACTCTTCTCTCTGGTCTCGGATTCTGCCAGTCATTTCCGCCAGTTCCATATAGTCCATCACCTTCATCTGCCATTCTTCCAGAGTGGGTAAATCTTGTGTCTTCCAATACTTTGCAATAAGTATTCTTGCTGCTGTAGTAGCATACATAAAGAAAGTTCTGTCCTTCTTTGGCACCAATTGGCCGACCATGCCCAGGAGAAAGGCCTCTGGTTTCTTCAGGAAGGTATATTTAAATACCTTTTTCATTTCATTATAGATCATCTCCCAGAACAGGCTGCATTAATATTTCAGCTGTTTTGTGCAACTTAACAGCATGACTAAGCATCTCAAAAAAGAAGTAAATCCTCTTTTTTTGATGGGAATGTGTTTTCCTTTAAGGGTGCTTAAAGGTAAAGGTTCCCCTGACCATTAGCTCCAGTCGCGGACAAATCTGGGGTTGTGGCGCTCATCTCGCTTTACTGGCCGAGGGAGCCGGCATACAGCTTCCAGGTCATGTGGCCAGCATGACTAAGCCACTTCTGGCAAACCAGGGCAGCGCACGGAAACGCCGTTTACCTTCCCGCTGGAGCGGTACCTATTTATCTGCTTGCACTTTGATGTGCTTTCGAACTGCTAGGTTGGCAGGAGCAGGGACCGAGCAACGGGAGCTTACCCCATCTCTGGGATTTGAACCGCCGAACTTCTGATCGGCAAGCCCTAGGCTCTGTGGTTTAACCCACAGTGCCACCCGCGTCACAAGACCAGTCAATAGCTGGAGCTAAATCAGGGGGTAGAACATTAGGTCATGGAGAGAAATTTCACTTGTTTATATTTTACTGACCTTAAAAATATGTGACTAAAGAAAACAAGGTTTCTGCACCAAGTCGCTTATGATCCTCAGTGTCTTAGAACCAGCAAAATATTTATTTATTTAGTAACTCATTTAGTTTCAACATGAACCAAGGGTGTTAGCATAGTGGCACCAGTAATTTGGTACACTGTTCCTTTTGAAATCAGATAGGCAGCTACAACCCTGATATTTCATCACCTCCTCTAAGCACATTTGTTTCATTATGTGTTTCCAGTGAATTGATAGGGATAGGGGGAGAAATTCAATTTAGTTCGCATTTAATGGCCAACGTACCTAATTTGCACTTTCTGAAACAGTTACATGAACTGAAACACTGCTGGCCTTCACATTTTGCAATGCAGTTCTCCAATGTGTACAAAAATGTGCACTTAAATACATATTGATTTGCAAAATGTGTTTATTGAGGGAAATTGCATACAAAAAATGTGTACGTAAAGAGAAAATTGTGTTGAAATGCTGATGGATTTTCAAGTGGGACTTTTAAAAACAAATTCACAAAATGATGTACAGTGGTACCTCGGGTTACATACGCTTCAGGTTACATACGCTTCAGGTTACAGACTCCGCTAACCCAGAAATAGTACCTCAGGTTCAGAACTTTGCTTCAGGATGAGAACAGAAATCGCACGCCAGCAGTGCAGTGGCAGCAGGAGTCCCCATTAGCTAAAGTGGTGCTTCAGGTTAAGAACAGTTTCAGGTTAAGAACGGACCTCCGGAACGAATTAAGTACTTAACCTGAGGTACCACTGTATTACTGGGAGGCCTTGAAACTAGACCACAAGGAATCAGTTCACACACTCCTGTGCCAAAATGATTTAGAACTTGAACTTAAGCTTGGAATAAGGGAAAGAAGCTGAAATTGACAAGAGTCCCTCATTCCTGTGTTGATCATTTGTTCTGTACTTAATGATTTTATAATTGGATAATGATATAGCTTTGTGATGTTTTAATGATTTTATTGTATATCACCTTGATATTTTTTATGAGTGGCATGCTTAAAAATAGTATTATAATTAAATTTAAATAAATAACATGGATTGCCTCCTCACCAGCCCTTTCTCCTGAATTGTTATCCTTCATTCATTGGCTGGTTAGAGTGAATTCATACCACCCTCAAATAATTGCATTTGAGTGTTTTTGAGTTAGCCTCCTATACATGTATTTGATTTGATCTTACATATATTTGATTTTGTGGTGACATTTAAGTATTAGATGCAGCATTCCCTAGCTTTCAAGGGTCTTCTGTAGCTGAAGTGTGGAGGAGACTATGGATGTTGGTCAACTCCTGTCAGCCCCAGAAAACATGGCTCATGGCCACAGATCATGGGAATTGTATTTCAGCAGCATTCAAAATGCCAAAGGCTCCTCACACCTGCTGTAGTTGGATCCAGTTTCATTCTCCTTCTGCAGTGCATTGGCACATGATGCAAGATCAAATTCTCTAACACTGAAGGTCTGGTTCTTCAGCTAAAACAATGGAAAATGTTGAGATAGCTTTGTGCACCTTGCATAGAGTTCAGCTTTTGCTTGTCTTGTGAGAAAGACCTAGAGGTGATGAAATTTCAACAAGGTGCTTCCAGCTTGTAGCTCAAGCTCTTAACATAACTCACATATGCAATATGTGAGAGTAAAAGAGTATTTAGCATGGGATTGCTAGGAAGAAATGAGAACATGAATTAAGATGGAGGTTGTAGTTGGAAGACCAGGTAGCCGTGCAAGACATCAGACTCCACTGCTTGGTACGTACCGGCAGCTGAGAGCCCACAGAAATTTTTTTTTAAAAGCAACCAATAGACACAATTAGATGCATGTGTCAAAAGATAACACTTCCCGGTTTCATTCCTATATCTTTCCATTTATCCACCATCTGCAAAGCTCCTGGACCTTCTGAATCATTCAATACTAACCACTCTTTGAGCTGCTATTAATACTAACTCATTAGGTACAACCTGCCAGCTTCCTGTAACATTTTCTATGTAAACTATTCGCTGTGGCAATTTCTTGCAATCTATTGAAAAATAGAAGGGAAAGATGTCAGGATATTACCTCCTTTGATGGTGGTATAGCTTAGCAACCCATATTCTGTTTTGTACATACATGAGGCCAACATTCAACATATTTTTGTCTTGGTGGGATACATTCAGGTCCGTTTCCTGGAGCAACAGAACAAAGTGCTAGAGACCAAATGGAGCCTCTTGCAGGAGCAAAAGATCACCCGGCGTAACCTTGAGCCTTTATTTGAGTCATACATCAGTGGTCTAAAAAATCAGCTGGATCACATTCTGGGACAGAGACCACAATTAGAAATGGAATTGAAGAACATGCAGGATACAGTGGAGGACTTCAGGATAAGGTGGGTACTGTAAGATAATTATTGTTATCATCATTGTTGCACGGTAGGGGGTTAGACTTGATGGTCCTTGGGGTCTCTTTCACATTTACAATTCTATGATAGCCACAATTCATTTATAAATGGGCTTCTGCACAATTGTCTCAAGGCGGTGTGCAATTAAAAGCAGCAAATAAAAAAACACCAACCAGTTAAAAGCATCACAACAGCAGACACATTTAAAAGAAGACAATACAAATTAGACAGTCATGAAAAAGACCCATTTATCCAGTTAGGGAAGTCTGTTGGAACACAGTTGTTTCTGGAAAGTGCAGGTGGTGGGTGTCCTTCAAGAGGGAAGCTGTTCCGCAACAGGGGCAGCCACACTGAAACCCCTGCTTCAAGTTACTTGCACATACTGCAGCAATCTGACCGAAGGTAAAAGATTGTAAAATAGACAAATGAAAAGGAGTCTGTCAGTCTTCTCCTACTAGCGATCTCCTTGTTGTTTAGTCGTTTAGTCGTGTCCGACTCTTCATGACCCCCTGGACCAGAGCACGCCAGGCACTCCTGTCTTCCACTGCCTCCCACAGTTTGGTCAAACTCATGCTGGTAGCTTCGAGAACACTGTCCAACCATCTCGTCCTCTGTCATCTCCTTCTCCTTGTGCCCTCCGTCTTTCTCAACATCAGGGTCTTTTCCAGGGAGTCTTCTCTTCTCATGAGGTGGCCAAAGTATTGGAGCGATCTCCTTAGCTGACTGCTGATGCTCTAAATGTGAAGCAAAATCTCAGTCAGATGAAAATCTTATTTATTTTTGGTCACATGTCAAAAGTCAGCCTTGCTGGGCATCTTCTGAGGGCCCAAACTCCACCCATGACAGAAGCCCCCGAACCTCCTCCTCCTCCTCCTCTTCTTCAGCATTGCAACCTGCCAATTTCACCCACCTTTCTCTCTGGCCCAAACGGTGGTGGAGGTGCTGAGAGAGAGAAGCAGGCCTTTGTTTGCCTACTCATGCCCTAAACACTGAAAAGATTACGGTGTCCACCATTTGCAATTCAAAATAAAAAGAATAGACTAGTAAAATAATGTTTTCAACAAACAAAAAACATACATTTATTGCAAACCATGACAGATCTAGTTTCATTGCATTATTTTTATCTACATTAGTAGAAGGTCCCTTGGTTTAGGTGAGGACAGGAAAATGGCAGAAGAGTGGAGACAACAGGAAGTGCAGGAAAGATCTGATTTTGCCCACAATGACCGCTCCCCACATTAAATGGGGGGCGCCCTTTGCGTGGTCACGCGCAGCCCGCTGGACCCTATGCGGTTCCATTAGCACAGGCTTGGCTTTGCCTTCCCTCAGGTGGGATACCTGAAGGTCTCTGCCTACCTCAGTCAGTTGTCGAATCCCGCCTAGGGAAGCGTTGCCAAGGTGACCAGGCCAGGTAGGGGGAGGGACTACCTGCCCACACAATAGAGGGAGGATCTTACCTGGGAATCTTCAGTTGGCTCCAGAGCTTGATTTCTTTGATGCTTTTCCTAAAATGCCAAATGCCAAATTCTTTTATATATGTATATCATTAAATTGCTGAACACCCAAGTTCCAGCAGGTTCAGTAAGTTGGCCAAGGAAAGTGGAAAATTGTAAGATGATTATTATTACCGACTCTTCATCCTAACTTCCCATGGCAGGTCACAACAGCTTAAAATACAACATTAAGAATGGTTTAAAAGGAATCATAATCACTATATATAGAAACACACACACAATATTGGTTCAAATATAAGCTGTCCCCCAATATAGGTCACACCCTTAAAATGAAATTGTTTTGAAAAGAATTTCTTAAATCTCCAGCACCATCCAATGTATTTTTATTTGGCTTTTTTACAGTCTAAAAATCAAATGCAAACTTTGCACTCTTTTCACAATAGACATAGTGGGTGATCCAAAGTTCTGCATGGGTCCAGAGATGGGCTTAAATCACAGCTTTTCTACTTGCAAGAGCACAATTATAGGCGACGCTCAAGTTTTATACAAACCAGATTGAGAATGTGCAGCCTGTATTCAGATGAATATGGAATGAAAAGACACACCCGCACCCCTCTTTCATGGGGGTTTAGAGGTTGTCAAATGGCCTTTCCTCATTGCTTGGCTCCAGGGAACTAATGGCGTTAAGACGAGCCGGCTGGATCAGGCCCACTGCCCATCTCGTCCTGTTTTCGTGGCAGCCACCCACATGCCAAAACTGCATTCCCAGAAAGGGACTGTTTCTGCTGCACCTTCTGGCCCCTTCATATTTGGCAACGTTTCAAGAAAAGAAAGGTGAGGGCAGACTGGTCTTGGCCTCTCCTCAAAGTAAAGTCAATAAAACTAGTCCGGGCGTTTTCATTTTTGAATTCCTTCAGAAAGACGTAACATCAACCAAGGCCAAAAGCCAAAACACCAGGACACTTCAGGGCTCACAATGCTCTGTTTTTGAGGACGAGTCTCTTTGTGGGCTTGTAATGGGGGCACAGGACATCGGATGCCTCTTGATCTGGGGTTGCATGGAGAATAGGCCTGAACATGAGCTGCACTTATCACTAGGACTGATGAGAAGACAGTAATTCTGGTTTATTGCGGTGTTAGCTCTTCTTATGGCCTTCCACTCCCTTCCTCAGGCATTGCAGGTCTAAACCACCACCATCCCACACACCCTGCGGGCTGGTCCACTGTCCCTCAGACCTTGTGGGGGGCCAGACTATATGTTTTTGGGGGGATGAATGAGTTCCTATCCCCCACAAATAACCCAGAGATGCAGCACACATTCTACTCATGTAAAAACACCAGGCAGGCCTCACAAATAACCCAGAGATGCATTTTAAATAAAAGGGCACATTCTACTCATGTAAAAACATGCTGATTCCTGGACCATCCATGGGCTGGATTGAGAAGGCAATTGGGCCGCATCCGACCCCCGGTCCTTAGTTTGCCTACCCGTGCTTCAACCAGTGCTTCCCAAAGCCTTCTGTCTGAATTTGCTCTTTACTAGCATCCTACCCCAAGACAGCCGCCATAGATGCTCAGAGTTCAGCCTGGTCCCTGTGTCATTGGCGGGTTGGGGCTAGGGCCTCACCTGCTTCTGAGCCCTGGGGCACTTCAGTAGCTCCTTTCTCTAAGCTATGGGGCCTGAGAAGTCACACCAGCCTGCATTTCCAACTGTTGGATCTGGGGTTTTAGGGAGCACCAAAAAACCCCCACCCCTATGACTATGTCAACAAATTGATACTTAACATTATTGCCTTAAAGCTCATAAATGACAGTTTAGCATTATCCCCCCCTCAATCCAAGCATTCCTCAATTTCCAAAGTGGAATTCTAAAATAAAATTTGAATTCTAACATTTTGATGGCTGCTAGCTTTAAATGTTTTGAAAGGATGTTGTCAGGGGTTCAGGAGCAGAGGCAAGGGCAAGGGAGGAAACAGAGAGCGAAGGGGAGGAGGCAGAAGAAAAGATGAGTGATGACGACGACCCGAGATCTCCGAGTCTTTCCAGTGAATCGGAGGATTCACAGAAAGGAGCACCAGTGGCCAGGGCAAGGGGGGAGTTTAGGGGGGCACCCCAGGAAGATAGAGCCAGAGGGGACTCAGAGGAGAGCAGTTGGAGATCGGGACCAGCGTCACCGCCAGAGAACAGGGAAGAGGAAGGGAGCCAGGGGGCAAGCGCTGGCAGCTCACAACAGGAGGGAGGGCACGAGTCAGGAGTGGCCACACCTCCATCTGGGAGCGAAGAGACGGTTAGACGGAAGGTGGAAGGTTGGGCGCGCGCGCCAAGTTCAAATGCACAGGAAGGCGGCGCAGTAGGCAGCCCGGAAAGGGAGCCAGGTCCTAAAGCCCGGCGCAAGGAGACAGGAGGGTCCGGGGGGTCAGCGTCAGAAGAATCCCGGAAGGAAGAGACCCAGGGGGGCAGAGGGACCCAGAGAAGAACAGTCAGGCGGAAAAGGTGGAGCAGGGCTAAGATATTAAGTTGGTGTACAAGGGGCGGAGATTCAGACGGAGCTTCGCCGAGCTAGCTACTAGACGTAGAGTTGCACGCAGCAGCTTGAGAATGGAAACTGTAACTCAATAAAGACTTTTACTAAATGACCGTTGGCTAGCGTGATCCTCTGTGAGCTAGGATCTTGAAGCAACTCTGACAGTAAGCTCCGTCTCTCAGAAATTGTGGGCATCTACAGCCTCGAGGAGAGGAGAGAAGCAGGTGCCTACTAGCGAGCTCACGAACGGCAGCCGACATGACGGCTGAACAGCAGATAGCGGAACTCAGAGAAGCAGTGTCACAGCTGAATGCCGAGGCTCTCGCATCCAGGAAGAGAGAGGAGGACGCAGCTGCCGCCTACAGGGATCTCCAGGTCAGGTTGGAAGTGCTTACGAAGCAAGGGCAACAGACACCCAAACCAGAGGGGATTGGTTTGGGGAGACGCACAGGCGGTCTGGTCTCTCACTTCGATGGGAACCTGCAACAGTATCCCAATTTTAGAGCAGACGTACTGTGTGCACTGCAACTGCTGAATAAAGATTTTAGAGATGAGCAGGAGAAAGTGGGATTCATCATGTCCTATTTGCATGGGGATGCCAGGGCATGGCTGCGCAATTTGTGGAGGGATAACGATCCGGCGCTCCAAAATGCGAATGCCTTTATTAAAGCGATGGATGGGTGTTTTTTATCAAGCATTGACGTGGATCTTGCTCGGCAACAGATTCATGGACTGAAGCAGGGAAGGGCAAGCGTACGGCAGTACCATGCCCGCTTTTTCGCCTTGGTCAGTGCCCTAGAATGGGACAGAGATTCGGCTCCTGTAAGAGACCTGTTCTGGGAGGGATTAAACAGCTCTTTGAAAGATGAAATTGCGAGGGGGGAGAGACCCCGGACCACCCAGGAGGTCGTGCAGAGGGCGCTGGCAGTGGGGGTGCGGCTGGAAGGACGTCCGTGGAGCAGGGACGAAGGGCGTGGAGGGCGCGAACCAGCCAGGGGCTCCTCCTTCTT